AAGAAAGCTTAAACATTCTTCCGACATTGCTCAACTAAAAAGGCCCTTTTCAGGGCCACCAAATTTGTAAACAACACATCTTTTCAGTATATTATGTGAGTACGTTGACATTGTAAAAACGGCGTGCGTAAGTATATCATATAAAATCTCGTTTAAAACCATTCTCTAAAGTTCAGTTACTGCCGAATGCCGACCATCGGAACGTGGTCACCTGATGCCGATTGTCCCATGAGAGAACAGTGTGTGCGGCTGTGACATTGAACTGTATTGCCAAATAACGAAATGGATGTTACGTATTCAGTTTTCAAAAGTGAATTGCGCGTGGTACATCATATAACTGTTCAGACGTTTTAAGAATGGCGAAATCTATTATTATCCAACAGAAGGAAGTGTTGATTTCCACCCTGCAGTCCCATACCAAACTTCACAAGAGAAAATATAGGGCAATATTAAGCAATAAAAAATAAAGAGAATGTATTTAATTTTTATCGTTACATCAATAATGGCATTTTTCGATTGAACGAAACAAAATTGTACTTCGAAGAACGTTAACCGACGTCTAACTTTTATGCTATTTTTGGACATAATTTTTTCCCTAATGATTAGAGTTATTGATTTTGTTGCTTTCCTATTATCACGACATAACGGGTTGACAACAAAGTCTCAATGACCTACGGGTGACGTATGGGTAGCTTGGAGCGAGCCGCTCGGACACAGTACACAAACTATAGGTACGGAAGACCAGTTTGTTTCGAAAAAATGTATTGAAAAGGTAATAAAATGAGTGATAATCATTTGAATAGTAATATAACTATGAACATAAATTATTACGTACCTATGTAATTTAATACGTCATATAGGGCTGTATCATTTTAGATTTCCTTCACGCTGGCTTCATCAAATTTAAATTTTATTTCAAATGTGATAACTCTACTTAGACACCTAATGGTTTGAACTATACTTAGTTTATTGTGTCTTTTTCTGCTATTTGTGTTGTGTGAATGAATGTTGTATTAAGTGTTGGCGTGGTTATGGCATCTTAGCCAGGAATGCAGCAATTGATCATCACACCCTGAGATTCACAACAAATGTTTGTACAACCAACAACATCTTTAGTGCATATTTCGTATTTATTCGTAGTTTAAATGTACATTATGTTGAGTGGTCGACGTATAGTGAGCTGCAGTAACAAAATAATAGGTTGATGTGATTCAGTTTATTTATGACTAAAAAATATTGAGTGCCCACGTTACTGTTCAATTACTTGTTTTAGTTATGTACACTGCGGTACTCGAATACTTTTAAAATGTATTTAGTACAAAATACTCAGTGTTAGTATATGCAGAAATAATAAAGACATGTGTTAATTAGTCACAATCATCTGAAACGAAATATATATATTTCTATATAGCAGTGTAATTTTTATTTCAATATTTGGGTATATATGTATTGCCAGTCAAGTAATAATAATATGTCCGTTTGTCCTCGGTTTATTTTATTCACATTAGAATTCAAAGATTTTGGCGAAAAGAATAGACAACGGATCATATATTAAATAAAATTGAATAACTATTGATTATTTTCTTATAAACAATACCTAATTTTAGATTATGAAGTTGCACACGAAATCAAATATTGTTTAATTCATCATACATTTCCTTACGTAATATTAAGGTTATTAAATTAAATCGTTGATATGAACTATGAAGATAGATAGACCCCCACTGTCGGATGAACACAAATATATATTTAACGAATTCGATTCAAACTTTTATCACCCTCAGCCTATGAACAAGTGTACATAATTGGTGGCCCTGAAAAGGGCCTTTTTGAGGTCAGTATAAACAAGTTAAGCACGTTCACCGCGGATACGACGGGCCAACTGGATGTCTTTCGGCATGATCGTGACACGTTTGGCGTGAATGGCGCACAAGTTGGTGTCTTCGAACAGACCGACCAAGTAGGCCTCGCTGGCTTCCTGCAGGGCCATGACGGCGGAGCTCTGGAAACGCAGGTCGGTCTTGAAGTCCTGGGCGATTTCACGCACCAGACGTTGGAACGGCAATTTGCGGATCAACAGTTCCGTGCTCTTCTGGTAACGACGGATTTCACGGAGAGCGACGGTTCCCGGACGGTAACGATGTGGCTTCTTCACTCCTCCGGTGGCTGGTGCGCTCTTACGTGCGGCTTTGGTGGCCAACTGTTTCCTGGGCGCTTTTCCGCCGGTAGACTTACGGGCTGTTTGCTTGGTACGTGCCATTGCGCTGCTGTATTTTGATTATGCTGAGATGTGCTTCAAAACGTAATTAACGAACGACTGATGCGGTTCGAACACACGGCCGACCGGTATATATACGAAAATCGGTACCGTATACGTCGTCCTCATTGGTCGACGTTTAACGGTTTCCTGGTAGTTTAGGGGGGCGGGGGGTAATCGGTCTTGATTTCTATTGGTGGTTCTGTCGGGAGAAACGTTTAAAAGGGACACCGTCCTGAAGGAAATTATCAGTCAACGTTCAGTGTTCACATCCGAAACAGTTCGCCTACTACTTCAAACAATCAACATGACAGGACGAGGCAAAGGAGGAAAAGGTCTGGGAAAAGGAGGCGCCAAGCGTCATCGTAAAGTGCTCCGTGATAACATCCAGGGTATTACCAAGCCTGCCATCCGTCGGTTAGCTCGCCGAGGTGGTGTAAAACGTATTTCCGGTTTAATTTACGAAGAGACCCGAGGAGTCCTGAAAGTGTTCCTGGAAAACGTGATCCGTGACGCAGTCACATACACAGAGCACGCCAAGAGGAAGACCGTCACCGCCATGGACGTTGTATACGCTCTTAAACGACAGGGCCGTACTCTGTACGGTTTCGGAGGTTAAGAATCTCATCGATGGTATACTTGTGAATGTCGTAACATCTTAAAAAGGCCCTTTTCAGGGCCACCATATATCGTTTTTAATCCAAAATATTGGACACTCACTAACATTGAAACACATCAAGATTCTAGGAGGGGCACATACTAATAATTTTAACGTACACTAAATCCGTATTGGCTTAGAAATAGAATTCAATGAACAATAGCCCGAAATTAAATTAAGCCGACGCAGTTACGGGCGGTTTTCGTCAAAAATATTACAAGACACTAATTGAAGGCCGAAAATCCAAAACGTGGTATTGCCAAAAATTTGAAAATCGAGATAAACATCGATTCTTATGTAAAAGAACACGAGGAATTCAAATCCGGTGCAAAATTCGTTGTAAATCGATTATATCTATGAAAAAAATCGATTTAAAAATCGTCATTCAAATAAAAACGTGTTATTGCCTCTATTTGTATCAAGTCAAAACGTGGTATTGCAATGTTCAAACCAAAACGCAGTATTTCCCTTGTTTTTTCTATAAGAATACATTCTATATTAAAACAAAACATTGTATTGCCATTCTATAATAATTCACTTATGTACCCATTACAGTCAACTTTTATGATTTATCAGAATATTTTTGTTTTCATGATAATTCAAATGTATAAAAATAGAATATAGGCATTAATTCATATTGTTGATAAAGATAACTTGGTTATGTGTTATCAATCTGAATTGGAAAAGTATTGCCGGCAATACCACATTTTGGCCAGTCAACACCTTTTCAAAGTATTAAAACTAAGTATTAAACTCAAAATAGATTTATTTTGACACCGCAAATCGTTTTTTTTTCATTTTTTACATTTGATTACACCAATTATGTCATAGCACGTGATATAGTTTTTCTTAATTTGTGAACATTTTGATTTTTGGCAATACCACGTTTTGGATTTTCGGCCTTCAATTACGACATCACTAATATTATAATAATATAAGTTGTGCAGGTTTTGCCGTTAATGATAACAACCATCGGCTGCCGACGAATCAGGACATTTAAAAAAATTAAATCATTATTTTCAAACCTCATAATTAATTAATAAAATGTTCACGAATCGGACGACACAGTGTAATAATAAGTAACAATTATTATTACCATTCGCTGAAACAATTATTTGACCACTAACCCGATCAGCGATTCGATAACGCCGCCATCATAACTTTAGGACTTGATAAAAGAATAAATATTTTACTATGGACGTTAGAACACAGCATTATCCTAAATTAAAATATTTCCTAAATGCGCTCCGTAGGTTTTTTTTTTATGATATTGAATTCAAAATCCCGCAGTAACATTATGTTATTTTTAGAATATTATTTTTTTATGTCTGTAATTGATTGTACTTACAATATTTGTAAATAAATGTTCTGTGTTTATTAATTCAAGACGTCAATTCATACAAAAAATTTTCAAGTACAACCATATTAAAATATTTACTGAACATTTAGTAGTTATGATTTAATGTTCGCGGGACTTAAAAAAAATAAAGAACTAAGTTACTAGACAGGTGCGAGGCCAAAGATTAAGTTTTTATTTTGGGAAGACTATTGTAGTTGCGCGTAAGTAATAATTACATTATAATTATGTACTAGGTTGTTGATTATCACTACTAATAATATTAAGGTTAATAGTTTCCATTTTTACTACTCCGGTGTGTAGTACTTTCGATAACAGCTAAGGTGTGACTATTCAAATAATTCTAGTTATACTCTGCGGTATAACCGGATAACGCAGACCAACCAATAGTTAGTGACGTTGGCAGTAAGTACGAATGGACGTTAAAGACTTACAATTTCACAAAAATACATTATTAAAACACAAATAGTAATATTTTGCTGGTGAAATCGAATATTACTTCGAAAAAAAACATGAAATATTGCAATAGCTTCTAAACAGAAACTGAGAGGCGGTGCACACAAAAAGTCAGAAGAAAAAATATGTTGTCCGGTTAAATTATGTTGTACATAATACCACGGTGTCCAATAAAGTAGAAAATGTAAATGTTGTATTGTAGTTATAATAACTTAAATTGAGAAAATTAATTTCTATGGAGATACCGAAACAGGCAAAAATATTATCATCTCGACGTAATAAAATAATCATAAATGGTATCATAAAATATATAATATTGCATTTGTTAATATCATAAAATATAACCGTGGTGGTTTCATTTCAATTGATTACAATGAAACTTTAAATTCAAATACTAAATATAATACCGGCATTTCAGTGGTAGTGCAGCGAAATAACAACAACAATATGTTTATTAATCGTTTGTAGTCGCCAATTAGAAGCATTTATTAATACCATGCATTGTTGATGTTGACGTGCGATGATAAAATAAATAATAGTACGTTATTGAAATAGTTCGTGTATAATATGTGATTTGAGGTTTTTCAACTTTTAATTGATGAGTTATTTTCAAAATGTTTTTTCCAATGTCTTGCTATCGACGGTAATACCCGCACAGTGGCTATTAATACTATTGATATGTTTAACGTATTTAAAGTATATTATAATATTTTCAAGAACCATCATCGTAACGGTAATTTAAAATAACATTTTCAAAAAGTGACCTGATCGATCACGAGTAGACGGCGTTCGAGTAGACAACTAATCCGTTTTCAGCGGTCTAAATACACGCTATCGGGTCCGACTGTATGATTGACGAAATATTTTAACGTTTTGTTTGAAACAACCGTCCGTTTGCAATCCTCTTAAATAGATAACAGATGTATTATTGTTTCGATCATGTGTTAGATTACAAACAGTCATTTTGTTTTGAACAGAATAAAACATTTTATAAATTAATATTTACCTTGGTACCTACGTAATCACAAAGATTAGATGCCGTGCAATATCCTAAATAATCTGCTACTAAACGTAAAAATAAATTATACCTGTTATGTTCATTTAAAATTGAGTATCGACCAAAACCGTTTAACAATGTGTTATTATTTTTATTTATTCAAATTAATTAAGTATGGTTAAGTCGAGATATATTGGTTAAGTCTACCTCGTGAACATATCAGAGGCGAAGCCGCGACCTAACACAGTCATAAAACTGTCATTTTCGAAAAGCCACTGTTCATCAGAAAATCGGTCGATTGGAAATCTGTAAACGTTATGGTCTCGGGAAACTCGTGGAGAATTCGTCAAAAATATTTTTGTCGATTTTCGACAAGTTACAGTCATACTGTAGACCTTCGAATACGGTCTACGAAAACCTTGTTGGAAGTGTGGAAATGACGACTTGTGGTGGTTTCACGGTACTTTGTGGCGATTCAATAACTAATGGAGATCGTTTAGAATTTAGTTAGCTTTGCAAAAAGTTCAAAACCAGATTTGTACAACCATTTCTCATTGAGATATTGTAAAAAAATACTGCACAACCACAGCCCGGAGGACGACGCGCATCGCTATGGTTTAATAGTCGGTACGGGGAAGTGTATATATGTACGCATTTATCAGATGCATTGGTATCACTGAAGTTTACAGCTGTATTTTAAAAAAAGAATCTAAAAATTCAATTCTCAACATGACAGACACCGTCGCAACAACTCCGGCTCCAGTCGCCGCGTCGCCGGCCGCGAAGAAGTCTCCAGCCAAGAAGAAGTTGGCCGCTAAAGCCGCGAAGACCGCTGCAACGCACCCAACCACATCCGTGATGGTCACTTCGGCCATCAAAGAGCTAAAAGAGAAGAAAGGTTCGTCGTTGCCAGCCATCAAGAAGTACTTGGCCGCCAACTACAAAGTCGATCCCGCCAAGTTGGCGCCATTCATCAGAAAGTTTTTGAAAGCCGCCGTCGCCAACGGTACCGTCGTCCAGACGAAGGGCACCGGCGCTTCGGGACACTTCAAATTGCCCGTCGCCGAGGTCAAGCCGAAAAAGGCTGTCGTAGCCAAAAAGAAGAAGTCAATCGTGAAAAAAGTCAAGGTCGCTGGAACACCGAAGAAGAAGAAGCTCGCAGCTGGCAAGAAACCCGCGACCGGTGAACCAGCCGCCAAAAAAGCGAAAAAAGTTGCTGCAACCAAACCCAAGGCGACTACACCGAAAAAGGCACCAGCCAAAGCAAAAAAACCGGCCGCTGCCAAACCCAAAGCGAAGAAGGCTCCAATCAAGAAAACAACGACTCCCAAAAAGAAGTAGTAAAATACTCTTTGCCACCCATCTCTAAAAAGGTCCTTTTCAGGACCACCAATTAATAATAACCATACACGTTAATCTCACATTCACTCACTTCGACCTAGTGAGCGAACATAATATAGTATTACGCGTCTCGTGGACCGTCGTGCACGCAGCAATGCCGCACGTCCGACTTATCTGTGTATGTATGGTGGTTTTGGACGATAATTAAAATTTTTAGCAAGTTTTGCGCACATAAAACGGCTCAATTCAAAAATGCTCGAAACCCAACACAACAATCAGGCGTAATTTGCTATGCGATTTTTTGTACAAACCGTTCTAAACATGGTGCTCGCCTTTTTAGACCAACAAACAAGTGCCACATTTAGAAACGACGCTCGTTTTATCGCATCAACATAATATATAATAGTTGGTTTCCAATGTGTTAAAAAATGTTTTTATATATAAAATATATTAACTGTATGATAAATAAAAAAGCCCTGTTTTTGATGTTAAAAAATATTATAATACCGTTTTAGTTGTTCAGTACAACCGTGTACGAACACTTGGACTTGCAGATGGTGGTCGCAGGGACTGGAACCGTATGGAGAAGAACTGGTTTTGGAACCGGAACCTCGCCGAAATCATAATTCAAATTAATTTAGAAACCAGAACCCCAACGAAGCCCTCATTCCAATTAATTTAAAAACCGGAACCGATATATCTTTGTAAAGATTTTTTACAATTAATTTCGGCTTTGCTGTCATTTAATAATTCAGTTATTTTCATTTGTCATCAATTGTGGGTGTAATTGATACATTAATATTGTTATTATTATTATAATCATCGAGGGGATTAATAATATTCAAAAATTATCAACCAAGAAGTTCTAGCAGCTGAGACGTGACATCAATCAATGTATAAAATATTTCTACTTAACAACTGGTAATATTATGATAGGAATCGCCGACAAAAATAAACGATAATTGTCCACTGCAAAACTTATTGTATACGTTAGGGTTCTACCTAGTTTCCATAATAACTAGAAATTCTGAAAATATGTTAATATATAACTAGGCGTTGTAAGATTGTGTATAACGTATCTTATCGTTATCGGACGTACAGCTTGTACACACGGATTATTAAAAGGTAAAGAAAAAAAATATTTATAATTATTTTATATCTACGAGGTTAAGTCCTGACTCTGATTGATCAAATACAAATTACAATACACGAGTACGAAGCGGAACTGTGTAACTGACTATCGTCAGTTAATTTTTGTTCCCGTAAACATTTTGTTTTAAATAGCTTAATAATATTACCGATAGTCGACAAATACATAATTGTTATTATCTAGGTTTCGAGGTATTTGTTATGCTGCTTCGATTACGGAAAATTGGTACCGATTTTAATAGATAAAACTTTGAGGTTTTTAATTGATGAGTTATTTGTAGAATGTTTTTCCGATTTCTTGTTATCGACGGTAATCATTATTATTGCCCTTAAAAATCCATGGTACTCATAGTGCACCATTATAGCAACAGTTATTTTGTACAACTGGACAACAATATTTTGAATTATGATACCCATTGTACATTTTATCACCATACCTATAATTATTTAAATGAAAAGCGACTAATTAATAATTATCCATATGAGACCCACCAACCACGCGCTGGTGTCGACTGTTGAGATAATGATTATAACCCGAACCCCGTGAATGACCAGTACATGGTAATGTAAAATCATACTCCATTGTAAATCATTTCCCAATGTGACACGTTAATAACTGATTGAAAATTGGTGGCCCTGAAAAGGGCCGTTTTGGTTGTGTTACAATGTGTCAAAACGAGAGATTTATTTGGAGCTGGTGTACTTGGTCACGGCCTTGGTGCCTTCACTGACGGCGTGCTTGGCCAATTCACCGGGCAACAAAAGCCTGACGGCTGTTTGGATTTCCCGGCTGGTGATGGTCGAACGCTTGTTGTAGTGGGCCAGACGACTGGATTCGGCGGCGATGCGCTCGAACAGATCGTTGACGAAACTGTTCATGATGCTCATGGCTTTGGATGACACACCGGTGTCGGGATGTACTTGTTTCAACACTTTGTAGATGTAGATGGCGTACGATTCTTTCCTCTTGGGCTTGCGCTTCTTGTCGGACTTGGCGATGTTCTTTTGTGCCTTGCCGGACGACTTCTTCATCGCTTTACCCGCCGATTTTCCTCCTGGAGCCATTTCGAATGATTGTAAATAGACTTGTGTTTACGACTGAAACGTTGTGAACTGAATGATGTGCCCTATTCGCAAACAGTGGGTATATATTCCCAAAGTCAAGCGATTTTCCGTTCGTTTATTGCTGGTTATAATAAAATAATGACGGTATAAATAATATCGTGAATCAGCTTTCAATAACTAAAGATAGCAGTTTGTCCACGAGTATGTTTCACGATAATGCCGAATAAAAACCGCATCGTTTGATAGTGCGTGTTGAACAAACGTAGCGACGTAGTACCGTCAAACCATTCATCTCTGTGTCCAATCACAGAACACCGTTATCCACATTTATGCTATATATACGAACATTTTAGTGAAAATGCACATCAGTCTCATTCATTATCGAATTCGAACTACCAAGCAACACAGCAATCATGAGCGGACGCGGTAAAGCAGGAAAATCGAAGGGAGGCAAGTCCAAGACCCGGTCGTCCCGTGCCGGACTCCAGTTCCCGGTCGGTCGTATCCATCGTCTGTTGAGAAAAGGAAACTACGCCGAACGTGTCGGAGCCGGAGCCCCGGTGTACCTGGCCGCCGTCATGGAATACTTGGCAGCTGAAGTATTGGAGTTGGCAGGTAACGCCGCCCGTGACAACAAGAAGTCCCGTATCATTCCCAGACATTTGCAATTGGCCATCAGAAACGACGAGGAGCTGAACAAATTGTTGTCCGGAGTAACCATCGCTCAAGGTGGTGTGTTGCCCAACATCCAAGCCGTTCTCTTGCCCAAAAAGACCGAAAAGAAAGCTTAAACATTCTTCCGACATTGCTCAACTAAAAAGGCCCTTTTCAGGGCCACCAAATTTGTAAACAATAAAACAACACATTTTTTCAGTATATGTGAGTGCGTTGACATTGTAAAAACGGCGTGCGTAATTATATCATATAAAATCTCGTTTAAAACCATTCTTTAAAGTTCAATTACTGCCGAATGCCGACCATCGGAACGTGGTCACCTGAAAGCCGATAAAACCCAAACAGACTCTAAAACGGTCCTTCTCAGGGCCACCAAATTTTTGAAAAGCCCCTCATATTATGCAATCCATTAACGATATAATGCAATGTTATTTATTGCCGCTAGGGCACGTCGATGTTTTAGATTATTTTACATTTATCAATGGAAATAGGTGTCACGTAAAAAAGCCGTACCAACGTAAATGTTTCATACTGTGGTTATTTTTAAAATGTCTTGTTATCGACGGTAATACCCACACAACGCGGCGGCTATTAATGAACGTCGTATTTCTATTGTACAGCACTATCACATTAGGTATATTAGTATATTTCTCACAAGAATTTTTTCTACTTATTTCAGTTTGTGTATTAATTTTTTTTTTATTGATCCTGAGCCCGGCAACTGTGGCCATTGGCTATTAGTAAGTATTGTAGGTTTGTATTGATGGTTTGTAGGTTTTTGGTACGGTAGGGGGGAACACGTGTGTGTTTGTTTTGGCAGAATTTCGAATGAGGCACCCGTAGGTTTCTGCCATGCCCCGCGGGTAGGGGATGACAGCACTTGTTCTCCGGTCACCACAACTTGTCCGGAGAGAAATGCCGCCCGGTGGCCGAGGATCGAACCGCGACCGGCTGCGTCGCAGCGGAAGAGTCAGACCACTCGGTCACCTCGTCCCCCTGTGTATTAATTATTCCCATAGCAAACGCCGCAAGCCACTACTACTGATGAGAAAATGCGCGTCGTCGTGTTCATTAGCATATATCTCACCGGTTAATGCCGAGAGACATTTTCGGTTAGAATTGGTTTTTTTTTCCAATTACTCGACCCATCAACAATCAATTCGTGTTACCAACGGTTTTTTTTTAATAAAAGAATACAACAGTATTACCTCCTCCACCTTCATGATTACGACTAGTTGGCAATACAATTAATATACACGTACAATACATAATACACAATACATAATTAACAGACACTAGTGTACGGCAAGTGTCTCGTGTGAATCAATGAGACACTTTTGTAAACAGTAGCACGATTCTTGTGGTCGGCCACAAAGTGTCTCGCGTGGGACAGCTCTAATACTCGCACAGCTACTATTAATAATATTATTGATGACGTATACAGTTACCTTTTTTATATTTTCAAGAATCGGCCCAAACAGTGTGCACGGTGGTATTCATTTGACATTTAGAATTTTAACTCAACGACTAGATGACGAATTTAATGCAATTGGTCAGTGGTTCCCAACCCACAACTTAAATTAGACAGGGGGAATCCCTTATTTGTGATTTCTTTTGCTTATCGACTTTATTGTTTCATAATAAAAATGAAAAAGAAAATTATATCATCCATATTAGTTTTACATAAAGAACTTCTTGCAATGATTTTAAACCCTATAAGCACGGATTTTCTACGTGTTTAAAAATTTCAACAATTATAAAATTAGAAAATACTTCCGTACTTCACATACATGAACCCTAAGATTAACACGAGATCCCTGGGGAAACAGCGCCCAGCGGGGTTATTTAATAAACGATATGTGGTGGCCCTGAAAAGGGCCTTTTTAAAATGTGATAGAATTTACAACTAAAGTAACTTATCCTCCGAAACCGTACAGAGTACGGCCTTGTCGTTTAAGAGCGTATACAACGTCCATAGCGGTGACGGTCTTCCTCTTGGCGTGCTCAGTGTAGGTGACTGCGTCGCGGATCACGTTTTCCAGGAACACTTTCAGAACACCACGGGTTTCTTCGTAAATCAAACCGGAAATACGTTTAACACCACCTCGGCGAGCTAACCGACGGATGGCAGGCTTGGTGATTCCCTGGATGTT